CTGGACCGCTAGGGACCGCTTCGTCTTTGGTTTGCAGTCCGTCAACCACCAGTAGAACAAGGAAGAAGCCGCCGAAAAACAAGGAAGAAGCCGCCGAAAAACAACTCACCTGATTTAGACAATTTTTGAACCCACCTCTTAAAAGAATCAGAACAGGAATTGTTAAAATTCAAACAATGCCTGAACCTAGTGCTTTTTTTTTTTTTTTTTTTTTTTTTAAATCGATTCACATGAAAATCGCGATGCTTTTCTTTGACGATTCCGAATCGGTTCATTAATCCAAAGAATCGATTAAAAAAAAAAACCAAAACACTAGGATCGGGCATCGTTTGAATTTTAACGATTCCTGTTCTGATTCTTTTAAGAGGTGAGTTCAAAATGTTTGCATTGTCTAAATGAGGTGAGTTGTTTTTCGGTGGCTTCTTCGTTGTTTTTCGGTGGCTGTTTCTTCCTTGTTTTACTGGCGGTCGACAGACTGCAAACCAAAGACGAAGCATGGATCAAAATTGTTTACAAACTGTTTAGGGGAATCGAAATTAAAACTTCTTAATGATTCTAATGAATCTGAAATGTTAGAACAGGTTCAGTTCGATTCTCGATGCCCAACCCTAAGCAGCACTTTTAATTTATTTTTTGATAACTTGAATCTATTATTCTTGAAGTCACTGAGAATTCAGTTTTCATTTGTGCAAGTTAAGCATGAATAAATGTTATCTTTTGTCTTAAGTTTGCCTTTGTATGTTTGATTATTGCAATCAGTTGATTTGACTTTTTCAAATATAAAAATGACATAATTTTGTACATACTTTACTCTGCTTTCATGCCATAATTTTCCACACTCACACTGTCTCTCTTCGTGCACAGCAGACTGGAGTAAAAATTAAACACCCTTATGTACTGAAAGATTCACATCCCTAGTCATCACGGCTTGGGCAGGATAAAGATGGGGCCACCGTGCAGTATGTGCTGCTCCTGAGAATCACCGGTCCAAACCTCCCGGCGGGCACGTCCCCGGCAACGCTGAGCACAGCGAGAGTCTCCTTACCGTTTCATTTTTAATTCCAGCCAGGACAAAACAGGAGGTTTTTTTTCTTGTGTTCACTAAAAAGTAAAGATTTGTTATCAAACTGCTTGTGGTCCCCACTTTACGCATGTTGTGGTCAACACAAGCCTGGCCTTAATACTAGTAACTTTAACTGGTACACACTACATTTTGAATCCATCATTACTGTGCTACTTCAATATTATTCAGTCTGGATCATTAGATTAGTTATATTCAAAGAACAAACAAACAAACAAAAACAAACTGAGGAGCGTAAGGGTGACAATGCTGCTAGCATCATTCTATAGGACTATTTAAACAAATACAACACAGACATCAATACAGTTGCTTGATTTTATGGACTTGCAATCACATCCAGGTCATAAATGATAACATAGTTGTACTTTTTAATCCCAGTTTTCATGAAGTGGATATTTGTCGAGGCTCACTGTTGCAAGACTATGTTATGCCAGTACAGGTCAGGCCCAGCAGTAAGGAGGACCACCTTACACTCCGTCCATAGCAGTCCAGTCTGGAGGGCCTCAATGAACAGGGCAGTGATGAGGAAACTGCACCTCATTGGGAGGTTGACATAAAAAAAAAAAAAGAAAAGAAATAGGAAAGGTTATTAGAACGTGACATAGCAGCTCCTTCACTTGCCTTCATATCAACATTAAAGGTTCCTCATCACATTCTAATGTTCAATAGTAGCTAAGGTGTTTATTCATGTATTTATTAGTTTATTTGTAAGGGACATTGCAAGAAACACTAACAGGTTAAAATAATATGAATCAGATGTGTTGCATACAGTTAGGGCTGCCACTAACTTATATATTTTCAAAAAATAATGGATTAATCATTGATTATTTTATTCGATTAATCAGATTTTGAAAAAAGGCACAGGATGTATTTTTGTATGACATTTCTATTGTCATAGTAGGTGATAAAACATTTTAAATACATGTAATTAAAATGCTGCCCATCTCTACCAACAATGCATAGGCCTATGTGATACAACAATATAAAAGAATACAAGTAAATATATGCTGCATATAATTTGAATTGTCCGTATCAATAACTTGAGGAATTGCAGGTCTGTATAATCCAACAGAAACTAAGAGAAAACCAGGCTTTCATTGACAGCAAATAAATCCATAGGCCTACTGCCATCTGCTGGTACAAAGGACAAACATCAGCTTGACACTTCACTGACACAACGATGCGTTATGGAGAAAACCTGTGTTAACAGTAACAACGTGGCACACACAATAATTTATTATATCCTCGATTACTTTATTGCAAACAATTTGAATATTAAAACACAATCTTTGAGGGAATCCCTATACGTCCTTCATGGGAACAATATGCATGACGATTTCCCTCTGAACAGCAACGATGTGGTTGAACAACAAATTTGCGATCATAACATTTTATTTCTATTTTTAAGAATAAAAAGTTCCTCACAGCAATGGCAGGCAGCTTTTCAAAATGCGCAAAACATCAGGTGTAAGTGGAAATAAAAGATAGCCTACATGCGAAAGTTTTATAGGATATTTATAAGTTTTAGGCAAGCTTATCTTCCTGTCTTTTATTTTGAAGTTACTTCCGCCTCTGATGTCACCGCAGTTCTACTTTTTGTCCAAAACAATAAATGAAAAAATGAATCTGCAAAAAACCAAAATCGGGCTGTTATTTGAATTTGGTTTTGTCGTTTTTTGTTTTTTGATTCTGACAACAAAAACGGAAAAACGGCTCCGTTTTTTCATTTTTTCGTTTTAAACCAAAAAGGAAAAAACAGGAAACCATGGTATTTCCGTTTTTTCGCCTGACGGTACCCTGACCTTGCCACCATCGGTCGTTTGTGTTTTGTATTACCACAGCCCCTCCTTTATCAGTGGGTTTAATCACAATTTTAGGATTATCTCACAGTTTGTTTACATTCAACAACCTCTTCAATATCTTTTTCCACTACTTTACTAAATGTAGCAAGTGCGGGGTTGCTGCATTTGCCAGGAGGCATGAAATTAAATTTTTCTTAAATTTGCTCAAGGATTCAATTGCTCCCTGGATTGCTACATCCAACTCATTGTGAAAAAAAAAGCTGTCTGAAAAATTTATAGGATTCAACTTCCAATTTGAATGCATTTACTTTTTTAGTAGGGACAATGGATAGTCCGCGACTCAAGACTTTTGATTGAGGGGGGTCAGTGTATAATCAGAGATGTTAATTACCGAGTGTGCCAGCTCCGTGTCACCATCCCTCTGGTGGGATTGGGGTCTCCTCTGTCCCCTTATGTTTTTTTCTTTGTGGACAGTTCCTTTTCGTTTTCAGGAGAAGCTCCCAGCGTTGTCCTGGACGTACATGCTCCTAGTGTCCTCCAGGTGCGCATCTACATCTTGGCCTCTGGCTCTGTTGTGCACAGGTTTCCAAATGGGTGTCCAGTTGTAAACTGATCCTCCTCTGTAATCCTTTGCATCTCATTCATATTTCTTTATTTAATTAGGGTTCTAACCCCGAAGGGGTAGAACCCTTCTAAGATTGTACCGGTTTATTATTATTATTAGGGTTCTAACCCCGAAGGGGTAGAAC